TCTTGATGATCCACGACATAAAATTCCTGCAGAACATAAAAGAAAATATGTGAAAAGTACAGACAATCTTATGGTACAACAGACCAAAAATTGTAATAACAGAACAATCGACATTATGTATATGTGTGGAACGTTGTCCGAGACATCTGCAATAAACATAGTCAGATGATTCTAGGTTACTTTTCTTTTTTTCTTTTTTGGAATAGTTGGAATACATATGAATGTATATAAATAATTATTGATGCCATTTGTTTCTTTTCTCGAGTGCATAATAGAACACATCTTTATTTCTATCACTATCTAAGGTAAGTAAGAAAGTACGCTTGGCATAACAATAGCTTGATAAGAAAACGTACACAAAGGTTCTTAAAAGTCAATATCTCGAAAATATTAACTTTTGTTGAGTTTTGGTATAAATTGATTTCTCTCAACATAAGATAAATAATTTTAAAAGGGTTACGTTTTCGTGTTTTCTGCTTTTTAATTTAGTTTCTCTTATTGAAATTTTGTTATTTCTAGTTGAATTTTAAGAAGTCTTCTGATCAAGTCAGATTCGTTACTAATTGAATCGACCTGTGATGAGCCGCTATAAATCAACGAATAGTTCAGTTAAAAGTCATTTATCATCGGGTAGTCTACCAAAAGAAGAAGTAAATATTGTTTTGGTGGGACAAGCAAATGTTGGAAAAAGTGCACTTGTTGTGAAATATTTAACAAAGCGATTTATCTGTGAATATGATCCATTTCTAGGTAAGTCTTTGATAATGCGTACATAACTGTATTCTCTTCAATTATTCAGCTACTTGAAAACCGATTTTCCTTCATTTATGCAAAATTTTGTTTTTTTCGCTCATTTAGAAGACACATATTGGAAGCCCGACACTGTAGATCAACAAGATGTACTTGTCAAAGTCATGGACACATATGGGAAAGTAAGCCTTAAGATATATAACATTGCACGTTTCCTAATATCAGTATTTAAGGATAGTAACCAAACTTATTTGGTAAAAAATGGAATAGAACGATGGTTTCTGTGTTATATTATCATATTGCTAATAAATATTTGATAAATTATTGAATTTTATTTTTAGGATGACAAACGACTACCTTACTATTTAAAGTGGGCTGATGCCGTGTTAATTACATATAGTATAACACAACAGGATAGTTTTGAAATGGCTTTATCTTATCTGGATAATATTCATGAATATTCGAAAAGCATTAGTCTGTCGTCAAACGAACTTGTTATTACTCTAATCGGCAATAAACTCGATCTTGAACGAAACAGGTAGGTAATAGTATATAATGTTTTTAATTTTAAAATTTGAATCAACTATGTTATTGGAGAATCATTGCTAAAGCTGACGGCGAAACAACAGCATCAAAATTTAACTGTGCATTTATTGAAACAACAGCAGCTGATGACTATGAATACGTGCAAAATTTATTTCACCGAACAGTTAGAGAAGTGCGGAAAGAACGTGAAAGAGCGAATAATGTTACAATATCGTCGATTCAATCGTTACCAACGACGTTTTGTCCTATAGAAGAAGAAGAAAAAGCTTTACCACTTCCATTAGCTGCAAATGTACCTACTGATCCTTTGTCGTCCTCGTCCTCATCTAGCTCGTCAACTCTGTTTAATCCTCTAAATAATGGTCAGAGTATTATATCATCATCGCCCCAAACGAGTACGATGACAGCATCTTTTGGTCAACGGCCATCGTCCAACGTAAATTCCAATTCAACTAGTAGTGGAGGAACAATACCAACTAATAATTCAAACACTAATATGATTCCCAACAATTCTCCACCAATAGCACGCAGCATACCATCTGCCAGTATATCTTCAGTTACATCATCTATTGTTCCAGCATCAACAACTGCCTCCCAAAAAAGTAATTCATCAGCCATTTCAACTGCCTCAACAACAACAGCAACAAATCCAGCGACAACGCGTCGAACAAAATCGCCGAAACTACAAACTGACTCACAAGCATCAACAACAACATCAGCATCATCTAGTCAGAAAGATAATCACCATTCATCAACGCCGAAACGACCCCCGTCAAAAGTGCCGTTTTTACAGAAAATTTTCAAATAGAGTTGGTTTTTCACGCAAGTTGTTTTGCTTTAGATATAAAAAGTTCGTTTTTCTTTTCTTCGATGTTCATTTGGTAATAGAGGGGTATTTTTTAGCTTAGAACAAAAAAAAGAGAAACTATAATAATATCCGGATTAGTTTTCGGATTAGTTCTCTATTTTCTCTGAAATGGTTCAAACAAAGTTTATCGTTCATAAGAACGAGAGCAGAACCACTAGACTCTACAACTGCGCCTTTATAAATGAAGTAAAATGCAGATGTACCGAATACTACTTGAGTCAATAGAGCTAAAAATTAAACAAAATGATCTTCGAAAAAACTTTTTATTTACCATAACGATACGTTTATTTCCGTTCGCACTGTTTTAAGCGTACGAATATTTTAAGCAACACAAAGGCATGAAGGAAGTATACCCATGTACTAAAAATCGCATAAAAATTGGCAATTAATCGTGAAAAATCATACGATTAATCGTGCGCTTAATCGTGATTAATTGACGATCTTTTTCTTGGTAATAACTTCGAACCCATCTTAGGAAATACATATTTTTTTCTGTTTTTTCATTGTTTATTATATATAATGGCATGTAAGTCACCCAGCAACGGTCTTAGTACCAGCTGAAGTCGGAGCCTTTCCGACGAGTCGATTTTAGACATTGCCTGGATACCAGCTGTTCACTGGGCTTCTCAACTTAAAGCTCTGAGGGATCATACAGAAGACTTGGCAACTCCGCTTTACTCTAAAATAAAAAGATGATCTAAATAGACGTGTATTTCTCGTTGAAATCGTGTTTCTTATATACATACTTTATTGCAAAATAAAATGGTGAATAACAATAACCATTTAATCGCTTAAAATCAACAATTAATCGCAATTTATTGCCGATTTTTAAACAAAGAAAAATCATCGGAATCGTAAATTAACCTCTTGAATGCCGTAAGGCATCTATAGATGACATGAAGGAAATTTTATATGTTGCATATGCTTTTTCGTTCTATCCTTTTAACGAAAAAAAAGTGCCAGAGGAACACATGTGACGAAAACAACAGAACGCAAAGAGAGATGTTTAATCGTTTTTTTACATATGCATGCCTTTGGACGCGAACGAGAAAAAATAACGGCATTCAAGAGGTTAATCGCAATTAATCTGCGATTTTTCAAGAATCGCTGTTAATTGTTAAAAATACCGCGATTTCGTCGACATGGGTATGTTACACAAGAGTAAGAAATGAAGAGGAAGAAAGCCATTCAGCCAATAAATTTCGACTGCATGGAGACAAAATGAAATAAAAATAAGAGTGAACAAATCACATTCAGGACATAATTTATAGTGCAAAAATAATTTTCATTTTTAACATTTCATTATCACTGCTAGAAAAATGAATTAAATTTATTTTATTATTGTCGTCTGACACTGTTTATGCCTGATTAGCCTGATATGCCTGATTAACACGCGATCCGTAATATGGATCGCGTGAAACAGTAGCAGATCTAGCATTTCGATCCATTTCAAATGGGTAGCAATCATAATTTTATTGCGATGTTTGCTGATGTGAAACTGTTTATCTATAAAAAACAACAACAAAAAAACAAGAGAAAAGCAAGCATCCAGGTCGAAGAATCGTACTAAGATCGTACACAATTGTGCTAGATCGTAAGAGAAGTAAGGAGTGAAATGATTCATACAGTAGAATCTTATGATTGCTTATACTACGATTTTGATACGAGTATGATAGTATGTCGATCAGGTATTTCGTATAAAATCGTTCAGTGTGATTCATACAAAATCGTTTGGTAAAAATCGTACATATGATTTGCGTCGAAATCGTACTCTTTAGATCATTTTTTTGCTTTTGCTGCGATGTATGCTTGAAACAAACGTTAAAAAAAGCTCAATTTCGAATTCAAATGACTTGTTTAGTGTTAGAAGTATATTGTTGCAGAAAATTCACCTTAATTTTATAGCACGAAGCACACTAGTAGCTTAGCATCACCATTTACTTCTCTTACTCTTTTGTCGGCTCTCCATAATTTTTGTTTACGAATTAAGCATGTTTTTTCATCTCAATTCACATTTTTTTTTGTAATACTCTGTTTGTTGATTTTCCTCTTTAAGAAACTTATGTTATTTTTTATTTTTAAATTATTTTTCTTGTTTTGATGTGATTTATCCAATGAACTGAAATATTTCTACAGTTTTTCCAACCCAGCGACTCTTTTTCTAAACCTTTTGTGTCTCCCATACATGAGTAAAATGTATGAAAAAGAAACTGAGAAGATTCATATGGGGCAAAAACGTACAAGAAAAACAAAAACAGACTAGGGAGAGAAACCAGCAAAAAACAGTTAGAATCATGTACTATTCGTATGTATGATCGTATATGATCGTATAAAATCAGACACGATCTTATATAATCTTACTATTTAGTATGAGTGTTCTCATAGGATCAGATCAGATCGTGTAACATCGCAGTAGAGAATGCAGTAAATTGATTATTTTAAAAACCATACTTTCTCACCTTCTTGTCTAGCAAAGTTCTATAAATAAAAAAAAGAAATAAACATTGACAACAACAGATAGATTCATGAGCGCAATGGGCACTAGCAAAAGCAATTAATTTTAACTCGGATAGTTTAGATTTATGTCTTTAAAACAAACAAGTGTGTCAAACTTGACAAATTTATATGAAAGACGATAGTGCCGTTGATGGAGATTTTAGCTATATCAAGATTTTTTCAGCCTTGATCTCGGTTGAAAAAATGTAAGAAAAGGTTCAGTAAGATACGTGAATTTTCAAAAATGAAAGTTTAAAGCCCAAACACTTGTTTAGACCTCGAAAAATCGTTTGTTCCTTGCGGTTGAAAAATCAAATAGAAACATGAACAGAACGAAAACATTGAAAACGATCGTATAATAACGAAGAATATAATTCATAATTATTAGGATATCGCGTTAATTTCAATTGATAATCACACGATGGATACTTTTTATATTTCAAAAACTTTTGCATCATCAATGATTTTGGGTTGTCTATCGATCATTGCAATCAAGTCGATTGTTTGGCAGAACTGTTGGTCACTGTGAAAGCAGTGCTGATTCCGGCCGGCGCGTAGAGTTCATTCTGCCATCAGAGGTGGGAAAAGGTACAAAGTTTGTCCCGAGCTGTTTTTAGCTATGAAAAAGTTATACTAATAGATGACTGAATATGTCTTTTAGTTTCTTATTCACTTTAGTCCTTTTAGTCTTTACTCTCTTTAGTCGCTTTGTAAGACACAAGTTGTAGTCAATGGAGCTCTACCATTTAGCGTATCTTTATCTTTTTCTTGATGTCGAATGCAAATATCTGTATGTCAGACACAAGGACACATACAGGAACGATAGCATAATCTGCATGCGACATCAAGAAAAAGATAAAGATACCCTAAATGGTAGAGCTTTATTAACAGTTGATTAGAGTTTTCTCTTTTAGCGCGTATCTTTATATTTTTCTTGATGTCGCATGCAGATCACCCTTTCCTTTTTGTATGTATCCTCATGTCTGATATACAGATATCTTCATGCGACATCAAAAAAAAATATAACGATACTCTAAGAGAGAAAACTCTATTATATATGTTAGAGTACAAATGTACGCATTTTATCGACACAGACACACGTGAGAAAATATGTTTGTGCTCATAAATGGAGACGGGGAGGGGAGGAGAGAGTGAGAACAGTTCTGCAAACAATCGATAGACAATCTGAAATCATTGATGGCCGTATCACTAACACAAAATTAGTGACAAGAAGGCTAAAATACTACAGACGGCCTCAGATGATTCAAGTATTTGTGAATTTTAACCCCGTTCTTCGAAAAGCTGAATCGATCTATGTATATCTACCCTATAGGATTAAGTCTTAATTATAATGCAAAATCGTAGTAAAGTGCTCAAAAAATCGTGTTTTACGCCAATTTTTCAGTTTGGGGCCATAAACGAACGTAAAACTTAGCGTTAAACACTCGATTTTACATACATTGGATTGAGAAAGCGTTTTTACACACGAATACATGTGTTTCTATGTTTCCAAATGCTGTTTTGAGTCGACTGATGACCGAAGCGGGGTAAGTCAAAAATATTTCAGGTCAAAAAAAGTTATTTTTTCGCTCGTACTAAGGTTTACGGCCAAAAGCAAAGCGATACCGCAACCGATATTAAATTCTGAATCAAATGATGCAATTTTTATAAAAATCGGAGACAAAAATTTTTTCAATGTTCCAAAGGGGTCGGTGAAAAATATTCAAAAAAAAGTCCTTTTTTGAAAAACTAAATGAGCCATTTTGTTCAGAATACGATACTGATTCTGCTATCCGTTCCAAAATACGGTGGTCGTGAGTGTTTTGTTAATAACTTTTCACAGAGATGAGATAGCAACCTGCGGTTTTCACTATCAAATAACAACCATTAAATAAACCTTAAGACATGTTTTCGTAAGCAGAAACTTGTTTCAAAATTTTCTGTAAGTCCGATTTTCCAGAGAATTACGTTCTCAGAAAACTAACATACAATGTTCTCAGAAAACTAACATACAATGTTACTAACTTTTTTGCGTGCATAGGTAGTCTGAACGTTACTCTACAAAATTATGCAAGTCCCAGCTCTCCAGTTACCGTCGGCCGGACAGGGCTCGCTTTCCCCGAGCACGTGTCTATCTCTGAGTAGACATCTCTGAGAAGCTTGAAGTGCCATGGAATATAGGTAATCGACTACGCTGAGTATAGTGGGAACATTTGTTTTTGTGTGGAAATGAAAATAACTTCGTCAGAGGTATTTTTGTGAAAAACCAGTTTTTCACCTGTTATTAGCAAAATTAAAATCCTTGTATCTCGGTCAAATCTCATGTTGACTCAAGGAAATTTTCAAGAACGACTTAAAAGGCGCCATATATTGTTGATCAAGCCGGAAACGTGGTTCAGCAGAACACTGAGGCTTTAAGGTTTTCAGAAGGTTTCCGGAAAACCTTAAACCAATGTCCAGCTGAAATTCACCTTTTTCGTCGTCATTTATGATTTATGAGCTGTTCTGAGCGTTTCCTGAAAATTTCCTTGAGTCAACATGAGATTTGACCGAGATATAAGGATTTTAATTTTGCTAATAACGGGTGAAAAACTGGTTTTTCACAAAAATACCTCTGACGAAGTTATTTTCATTTCCACACAAAAACAAATGTTCGCACTATACTCAGCGTAGTTGATTACCTATATTCCATGGCACTAACATTGTATGTTAGTTTTCTGAGGACGGAGCTAGTTTTTCAAAGATCCTCTGGAAAATCGGACTTATAGAAAATTTTGAAACAAGTTTCTGCTTACGAAAACATGTCTTAAGGTCTTGGTTATTAAATATTGAAAACCGCAGGTTGCTATCTCATCTCTGTGAAAAGTTATTCTTCATTTTATACAATATCGCAATGAAGAAATCGAAAAGAATGTATGTATATGAATGCATAAATAAAATTCCCTCGACTTTTTTAAATAACACATTTTGTAGTGTGTAAGTACATTTTGGAGTTACAATAGCTTCTTGCTGCCAGTTTCGAGGGTGTTAACAACATTCCGTAAATTTTTTGACTTTGCCGGGAAATCACTCTATGCATACACTATAAATTTTGTATAGATAAGAAATTTTTTCAGTAAACGACACAATAGAAAGCCATTAGTATTAGACGAGCGTCTAAAAATGGATGACTCTCAAAGCACAAAATTGAAGTAAATTTGTCTTATTTTTGGCTAAGTTCGAAACCATCAATATTTATGAAATTAAGAGAGTGTATACTCCCCGCCAACACACACGATCACGCCGCCATTGTTTATCACAAACGTTTATTTCACATAGTGATAGCTTACTATTGTCGAGGACTAATCAAGCAGCAACTAACTAACTGGAGTTTGAGAACTGTTTTAATCTTCATGATATATTCATGATCGTTCATCTTACTATCTTGTGATCAAATATCTTTCGATGGTACAGTAATCTCGTTCAAGTTTTGTGTATTTTAGATGTATAGAAAAAGAAAAGATATGTTGATGTTATCTGCTCAATTTGCACACACATTGTTTTATTTAATTTAAAGAAGGACAGTGTATTTTAGTAGCGTTGAAAAAAAATGACCGTTCTTCACATACGGATTTATCTATTCGATAAAGGGAAAGAAAAAATTTTACCTTTTGTATTAGTAATGTCGGGGTTGTGCTGGCCTATATTTTTAAGTTGTAAAAGACGCTGAAATTGAAAAGAGGGTTATGACTTAAATGAGACGAAAATGAAAATATTTTCACCAATAGAAAAAATTCGTCTCATTATTTTTTTTCATTTCATTTCATTTTTTCAGTCATAATCGAAAAGCTAAAAAGAATGATGACTTCGTGCAAGTTGGATGGTATTTGATTACACGACTTAAAAACTATTAGAATTCCAATGACTACACGTAAAAAGTTTTTAACAATACCCGGTATAATAGCGAAAAAACGAGATGGTATGGAACTGGATGCAGATGATATTAACCAATTTATAACTGGTGTATCGAGTGGCAGTATTCAAGACTGTCAGGTTGGCGCCATGTTAATGGCAATTTATTTAAAAGGTATTTAAACGTATCTGACTTAATGATACACAACTAAATTCGTAAACATAATTAAAGTAATGACGTTCATCTTCCATCGTAGTCTAATTTTTTGAGTCTTCTCTCAAAAGTACTAAAATATTTGACTAAAGTAAAAATAGATAAAAATTCGTTGAGATTATTTGTGTTTATAGGCATGACAGAATTCGAAATATCTGCATTAACGCTTTCAATGCGTGATAGTGGTGAACGATTGCAATGGCCTCAGTTTAGAGGGAACGTTGTGGATAAACATTCAACTGGAGGAATTGGAGATAAAATAAGCATTCCTCTAGCTCCTGCGTTAGCTGCATGTGGACTGAAGGTACAACAATATAAAAATATAAATAGTTACAACAATATTTGTTAATCGGTGCTCTTTTATATCTTAAAAAGGTGCCCATGATCAGTGGAAGAGGACTAGGCATCACAGGAGGAACTCTGGATAAATTAGAATCAATACCGGGTTATGTAACACAATTGACAGAGGAGCAAATAAACGATATAATAACGAACGTTGGATGTGGAATATTTTCACAAAGGTATGTGAGATATTTTGATAACTATTCAAAAACATTCGAATATTCACAATTTTTTCTATAGTTTAAAACTCAATCCAGCAGATAGATTTTTATATAGTATTCGAGACGTCACATCTACTGTATCTCACAATGCTTTAATCGTTAGTTCAATATTATCAAAAAAGGCTATCGAAGATTTAGACGCATTAATACTCGATGTAAAATTTGGCAAAAGTGCCTTTATGAAAACCATTGAAGACGCTGGTGTATTAGCCGATTGGTTGTTAAAAGTTAGTAAATTATTAGGGATGAAAACGAGTGTTTTTATAACAGAGATGGATACTCCGATAGGAAATTCAATCGGAAATTCTATTGAAATTATTGAATCATTAGAACTAATGAAATACGCTGAAAATCATTCAAAAGATTTTGAAGATTTGGTTTGCGAACAAGGTAAAGTAATGCAGTAGCAATAGAAACTCTTTGGTTCTTATGTATATTACAACAATCACTTTCAATAGGTGGTCAATTGCTATTATTAATAAATAAAGTCGAGACAATTGAACAAGGAAGAGAACTTATTCGAAATGTGTTGAAGAATGGGAATGCACTGGCAAAATTTCGTGACATGATGATTGGTCACGGTGTTTCACAAGAGATAGCAAATGAACTAATAACTACCAAAAACGAGAGCTCAGTATTAAAATTAGCAGAAAAACATTATGTTGGTCGAGCAACACATAGTGGTTATGTTATGAGTATTGACTCATTCAAACTTGGAACATGTGTTCAACAATTAGGTAAGATTAGTTAAAAGTGTTCAAGATAAAAGAAAAGTGATAAAAATACGTTTTTGAAACCTTTATTGATTATATTAAGATTATATTGAAATTATATTGAAACTCTGAAGATTATATTTAGGCCAATAAACTTGATTGGGCTAAATATAATCTTCTGAATTTGTTGTTAAAGAAATTCTCATCATTTTTTTTATGTATGTTTTTCAGGCGGTGGGCGTTTACGTTCAACTGATAAAATTGATTATTCGGTTGGTATTCGATTATACAAACATATTGGTGATGAAATAGGGGAAAATGATATATGGGCAGAACTATACTATAATGACGAAAAATATGACTTTCTAGACGATTTTAATAGTGCAATCGAGATAAGTCCCGTTATTGTACCACCATTACAGCGAATTCGTAAAATTTTAACATAGTCTGAAATACCTTACGAATAATACTAACAAACGACTGAACTCCAATATATTTACAAAGTCGGAAAATATGAATAAAATATTCATTTATTATTTTTCAATGGAATATTTGTCTTAATCGCCTTTTCGATATAGTTTAGAGAAAATAGTACTAGCTAAATCGTATTCTCATGTTCATATTGTTAGGAAGGAAAACGCTCCCGTTTAAAATTATCGTTTTATACTTTTCTAACAGAGAAAGTTCAAATAAAACATAAAACAGTTTGTTTTACATGTTCTTATTTTCTTTACAAAATGTGAATTTGCTGAGCTTTATGACGATAACTTGATTCATTTCTTCGTTTATCTTCAAGTATATTTTTTTAATTCAAAATAGTATTTTGATTACTACAACAACAAAACGAATTAAGCAGTCTTACCTCGGTAAACTTTTGTTCTCTTTCTCCTTTTATCAATATAAGATAGATTTACAAGATCAGTCAATACCATTAACTTAGATATATATACACACACACCTTCTCTCCTCATTTAATGTTCTAAGAAAAAAATTTATAGTGAGCTTTGAAAGTCGAATTATCACCTTCTCCTTGATCAAAGTTCAAGATGATTGTTTGTTGCTTCCTTTCCTCAATTGACAGATATGGCTGGACGATGGTTATTTGAAACTTTCTAATAGTGAAATGTTTACACGTTGATGATAACATTCGTCTGTATTGATAGAAAAAATTCCAAATTAATGTTTAAACTGCTAAACGGTTGATTTCTTTCAACAAAGATGGTTCAGTGTTTAAGTAGTGGTGGAAGTATTTTGACTCTGTTTTATGTATGCTAGTGTTACAAGTCGAAAAAGAACGAACGCCTCCATATACATATTTTTTTCTCGTTATCAAATCACGAGTTCAAATATTCAGTGTGTTTCTTCTTTCTATATAGAACGAAGATTTTTATTCGCATATGCGAATAAAAATGTACAAAAGATAGATGAAAATTGTAGAAAAAAAGAAAGAAAAACGTTCACTTGATTCTTTTATGTATAGAAAATCAAGGGAAATAAATACAGGTAAGTTAACACGTACATTCGTCGTTCTTTAATGAATGATTAAAAATGAATGATTTTAATTAAATATGCTAATACTGGTAATGCATTGGAAACGTATTTATTCAATGTAAAAAAAAGATACATGTAT